TGTCGGCTGATATTAAATCGCATACATTGCCCGAAGCAGTATTGCTTTGGAGAGATATCCTGATTAGATTCAGTATGTGAGGTAACCAGACAAGAAAACTGTTGTTCCTGAAAACAAAACATGAATATGAATGTACAGTCGAGGACGTTTATTTCCTACCCATTAGGGTGTCTTGCAATGCAATTTCCTCGATAACTTTTCATACCTAATACGAGAATATATGTGCAAGTTACAGCTGTAATAGAAAGTTTTATGTGATTTGATGATATTCTATCCTAAGTACCATTTTAAAGTGTAGTTTTCTGCATCTGTACTAATATTATGAAGAGAAAACATTTTTTTTCAACTAATCTCAAAATTTCATTCACCATCATATATTTATTACTAGATTTCTTTTTGTAATTCCACACGGACGATGTTGCTTAATAGTTTAACACAGATTTCTTTATTTGTGACAAAAAAAAATTAAAAACAAAATCAAGATATTGTTACAGGCGTGGGGATAGAGTTAAAAACTTTGATAATTCTTCGTTAATGTTTTCACGCCTCACAGAAACAGGGGACCACTGGACTCTCGTATTTATCAAAACACCGCTGACATTATAACACACTTTCACTTCACGGTCACTATTTTCTGGAGTTCTTTACAGTTCACTTTCCACCGTAAGACTCCCCGAGTCGAATCCAACTCCCCGTATACGAGTATAGCCCGAATTTCGTTTTTTTTCGTTATTCTTTTGTCATTTTATTCCAGTACGTTCTCGATTGTTCGAATCCCATACATTTTCCAATAGAACATTCTCGATGCCGCTACGAATATTCCAGACATCTTTTCGCGAAGTTTATCGCTACTCGCCAACAGATGGCGTTGTGAAAGAACATTCTGGAAACATCTCGATTATTCGAAGGGCGTCAATTTCGCTACTTGACATCAGATGTCGCTGTGATAGAATATTCTGGAAACAACTCGATTTTTCCACGGGCACGAATTTTAATTATCAACAGATAATGTCGCGACATTATAATATGATTGTATGATGCACTGTGCAATAAAGTTGTAGTTACGTAACTTCATGTTATTTTATACTTAGTAAATTAATAGTCATTAACAGTGTATCTATCTACATTAATTAAAACACTCTACGTATCATAAAAATAAACTAAGTAGACTTATAAACATCGGCTGGCGATCTACCAGGGGGCACTATAATTATTGTGGCTTTAAAAGAGGTCATTTTTGTATTTTACAATTCTCTAAAGGTTGAAGCTGCTACCACCCTGGCGACGCACATTCTAATAACCAACTATAGACATTATTACAAAAATTCGAGACCGCGCTAGTCTACACCTGCGTTAAACGTTATTTTTTTTCATTCAAGAGTAACATTTACAATCTAAGCTTTGAAGGGGATAAGTTTTCTTAAAATCATTTACACCGCATAATATAAAGTTATATTTTATAGATACAAGGAATAACTAATAAAATAATTATATGACTCACGTAATAAAAACAACAGCAACAATGAAGTACAATTGCAATGTCCTCCACAAATACGGAGGTCTGAAGAGAGGCGCGCTCTGTTCGTACATTGCTCGGAATAACGATTGCTCCTTCTTTGCTGTCTCCGACATTGTGAAACATGTGATCTGTAATTTTAGAACACCGAATAAACATCACAAATATTTTTAAAATACATTTCTAATGATCAATCGATTTTAATTAAAGTACTGCAGCCTACAGCAATTTTGTGTTTGACGCCTTGTAAAATAAATTAGCAAAAGTAATGACTTACCCCAAATTCTTCTTTACTGCAGGAATGATTGACCGCGTAAATAGACCTCATCACCTCTAGCGCTTCTTCTCTTCTGCCGCAGTTGGCGAGGAACTTGGGAGACTCGTGAAAGAAGTACATGGCGAATGCTCCTAATCCTGAGGGTAGTGCTAGGATGATGTTCAATAATCGCCAAGGTCGGAAGATAATGCCTAGACATTGTATAGGCGCTTCGAAGTCAAGCTTTAATATTGGGTACGTCAGAACTGCAGAACAAAAATTTTAATTAATTACGGATGCCAGTAGCACATTGTTTAAACACCAGACTTCTACAGATTTGGATTCGATCCCTGCTATAACAGTGCTTTTCAATTTTTGAATTTCATCTTGTACATATATGGGCGTTTCTAGAAAAATGTAAAAAATGCGGGCGACAGCAATCCTTACATTTGTAAGTGAAAACTTGATGTTGTACAACAATAGAAACTTGTTGTTAAACATGGGATACTCACGGGCTGCAAACGCTGGCGACAAGAGTATGAAGCAAGTCATCATCACCATGTACTTATTGCGGACACGCTGCACACATGACTCGCCCACCAAAGTGTACGACACTGAATTCGCTGCACACGAACTGAAATGGAACACAAACATATAACATAAAACCATGTTTGAAAGTCATGTTTGAAAAAATTTTATAACAAAAGGTGGCAAACGAGCAAGCGGCCACCTGAATCCGCTAAAATGGCGTAGCGACCGCTATCCATAGACATCCGCAATTGCAGATGCGTTGCTTACTGTTATTCGACAGAGGAGGAGAAGCACATAAAGAGGATATTTCCGCTTCCTATGCATCTCCTCCGTCAAATCCACTTCCCCTTATATTTATATCTATAAGAAAAGAGTGGTAAAGAGAAAGGGATTTAAATTAGGCCTCCGGGACCACACTCATCAGACGAAACACGGAATTGCTTTCATTTCACGCCTGTATTCTGTGTGGTCGTGGTATTACACCGGGCGTGCCGGCCCTGCAGTGCGAAGATGTTAAAGCGGGCACTACCACTGTTAAATTACAGTAATAAACACTCATTATGCAGTATTTTCAGTACATCTAGTATGTATCTGAACACCATAAAATTAATTTTTTTTTAATAATTTTGCAGTAACAAATACAAAACTACACTTTTATGATTTTGCTAAGAAAAACTACGTAAAGTTTAATTGATAGTTTACCTATGAATAATTTAATGGAAACAAGTTTTCTCATGTTTATTTACATGCATATTATGGGGACAAATATTGTTGCAGTAGACACGTGGATTGTTAATGTTGATAATTGATTTATTTCCGTAAATAAACCTCTGATTTGTGTATCGGCTTAGTTATAGTTACCTTTCCCTTCCTACCTTATTCTTATAACGAAAGGATGGGAAACAGAAGTGGTGGTCGGATTCTCGTTTGTCAGCTTACACAAAAACACTTTCGAAGATTTTATATCTAATACTGTCTTTTAATATAGGGATTACATTGTTTATTAGAAATTACAGACGAATTGATAACCTCTTTCTTTTGGGAAGTAAAAAATCATACTAATACTATAAATGCAAAAGGTTAAATGGATAGGTGGATGAATCGATGTTTGTTAGAGTTTGTAGCCTAAACGACTAAACGGATTTCGATAAAATTTGGTACAGATGTAGAGGATAGCCTGGAAGAACACATCGGCTACTCACTTTTGTTTATTTTTAATTCCACGGAGACAGACTCGTGGGCGAAAGCTATATAATATAATGCATATTAAGAGTAACGCTATCGATCCTGATACAATAGTGGACCCTACAAACTAAGCAAAACAAAATAATGTAACCGAATTCCTAAAGACAATTAAAATGTATTGAATTAATTATACAAAGGAAAAATACTAGACTGTCTTCGCTTCCATACATTGTCGTAACGAGTTCAATGAAAATAAACGAACGGTCCCTAAGGACGTCTACACACGAGACCGAGTTACAACACAATTCAAAAATTATTTCTTCACCTATGAAATTATTTACAAGACCTAATTTGTGTGCAATTTCAATCTGTTTTCTTACATAAATAAATTATGAAAAATAACCTCTATAATTACTAATA